TCCCCTGGGTGTCCCCAGCCCCACGGTGCCCCCATCCCCAGGTACCCCCTCCCCACGGTGGTCCCAGCCCTGCGGTGGCCCTGTCCCCAGGTACCCCCTCCCCGTGCTGTCCCCAGCCCTGCGGTGGCCCCATCCCCAGGTACCCCCTCCCCGTGCTGTCCCCAGCCCCGCAGTGGCCCCGTCCCCAGGTACCCCTTCCCTGTGGTGTCCCCAGCCCCATGGCATCCCCCAGCCACGGGATCCCCATGTCCCAGCTGTGTCCCAAACTCTGTGGCGTTTCTGTCCCCATGATGTCCCCATCCCCATGACATCCCCACCTGTCCCCTCCCTCTGGTATCCCCATTCCCATGGTGTCCCCGTCCCCATGGTGTCCCTTGTCCCCGTGACATCCCCATCCCTGCTGTGTCCCCATCCCTTTGGTGTCCCTGTGGCGTCCCCATCCCTTTGGCATCCCTGTCCCCATGGCATCCCTGTCCCCACAGTGTCCCCAGCCCTGTGGCATCCCCAGCCCTGTGGCAACCCCATCCCTTTGGTGTCCCCATCCCTTTGGCATCCCTGTCCCCATGGTATCCCTGTCCCCATGGTGTCCCCAGCCCTGTGGCATCCCCATCCCCAGTGTCCCTTGTCCCCGTGGCATTCCCATCCCTGTGGCATCCCCATCCTTTTGGTGTCTTCATCCCCGTGGCGTCCCCGTCCCCATGGCATCCCTGTCCCCATTCCCATGGCATCCCTTTGGCATCCCAATCCCTTTGGTGTCCCCATCCCCATGGTGTCCCCTGACCTGCAGCTGCAGGGTGGGCTGGCTGGCGGGGGGGCTGGCCAGGCACCGGGTGCCATTCTGGATGCCCAGGATGACGGGCTGCCGGGTGAGCTCGAAGGCACGGTTGGGGACCCAAAACACCTTCTCTGTGGGAGGGGAGGGGACAGACGGGGTCATCAGGACATGCCCAACGTGTGTCCGTCCATCCATCCCCTCCCCCCCGCCATGTCCCCATGATCTCACCTTCAAGGGCAGCGTTGGCCCCTTGCAGGTGCCCGGCCACCAGCTGGTTGTTGCGCAGGTAAAGTGACTTCTGGTTGACGTCCCAAATCCTGCCAGGGACAGTGGTGACAGCGGTGCCCCCCTCCCCTCCCCGAGGTGTCACCCATGGGTGCTCCCCCCCCCACACTTACCGATACTGGAAGACTTTAGTCTGCACGGCGGGCGTGTGACAGAGGGTGAAGCCTTTGGCCTCTGCGCAGAGGAAGAGGAGGGTGAGGGTGAGCGCGGGCTGGCACGCCATGGCACCCCGATGCCCGCCGCCCCGGC